TCCCTTATTTTGCTGAGATTGGGCATCTCTTCATAACCTATTTGTAAAACGTTTTGTTTATGTGCATTTCACAGGGATATTTCTCAAAGGGCTCTGTGCTGAAAAAGCAGAAGACTCGCTGCTAGTCTAGCTGGAATTAATTTTTGTGAGTTAGAGATCTAAATTTATTTTTTTCCCCAAATGCTTATGTTGTTCCAGTACTATTTGTTGAATAAACCATTCTTTCCCTACTGACTGGAAATGTCATTTTATCATTTACTCAATATATGTGTGTGTTTCCAGATTCTCAGCTCTATCAGATTTATTTTTGGTATCAGGCACCTGAGTTATTCTTAACTTGGTTCATTGAATGGCAGATGGTTTTGTCAGCCAAGATAATGTGTCAGCCTATGAGACAATAGATATATAATTCGTAACACACAAATCCTATTCTAGTTTACAATTTAAATCAGTTTCATTATCTACAAACTTGGAATATTAAAAAAACGTGTAAACTTCTCTCTCAATTGGTTTCTCTTTTTTTTTAGAGGATATCTCATAGGCTCAATGTAGAGATAGGAGGCTTTGCACCAGGTCCCCTCTAAAAGTATTTCTAAAAGTATTACTTGAGGCTAAAGCTTTTTGGTGATTTAAAGTTGTTTCCTGGCAATGTCAAAGGATTTCATGGGGCATGGCAAGTTTACTATTGATTTATGCAAAACCTTTCATTCAACTGAGATGAGGTCCACAAACTATGACATATACTTTGAATAAATAATATGGCACTTTCGTTTTTACTTTTATGTTGGACTATAAAGTCCTGGAGTGCACAAATCATGTCCCATTTGTCTTTCTATCCCCAAATATCTAGTACATATACAGCACCTGAATAGAAACAGAATTGCATTTCAACAGTGTTTCTACAAAATAAAAAAGTAAAACCCGAACTTCTCAAAAACAAAACCTTCACTTTAGGGGCTTTACAAAGTTTCACGTATTTTTTAAATTTTTTTATGTCCATTTGCCACCTGATTAAATTACATATAATTTTTTTTTTGTAGGAACACTACAGTCATACACTGAACTGGTATTGTTTTCATGCTCAAGTATGGGGGAAATGTCCCCTTGCGGTCTGTGACTTCCTCGGGTATACTCTGTCAATAGGTGCGCTGCTTGCCAGTGAAATTATGGCAAGAACTGTGTGATCTGGAAAACATTTTAGATTGCAAGGGGCAAGAATACTTTACAGTTGTTATATAGAAATATCTCAGGCATGCAAAAGAGCGAAATGAGAAGATAAACTTGGCTTTTTTTACAGGAAAGTAGAAATGTGGCATTTGTTTTAAAATTCAGTATTTTTTATGGATTAAATTAGCACACCTTTTCCTTCCCTCTTTCAAAGGGATAACTTTGGCTTCTGTGGCCAATGTCTTAGTCCATAAACTTAGACGCTCTGTTTTATAGCCCAACCCATGACATCAGATCATGGGAAAATTCCCCAACTGCCTAATCTATCAGTTTCCCTGGTGAGAAGAAGGAAAAATAATGCTAATTCACCATCTAAGTATGTTGAACCAATTCTATGACCAAGTAGATTGTGCCAGTGCAAAATACCAGTCTCTTACTTTACCATTACCAATCCTGAAAGGCTATCCTACTTTGACAATTACATTAAGAAAAAAAAAAGGATGTCTATGACCTTTAACTTGCCTTGTACAGTGCCTCACCATTTGTCATCTGTGAACATAGCATGTTCTACCAATTGCAGCACACTCAGGTTGTTAAATAGCACTGTACAGCAATCTCTCCACGGACAAAGGGAATCTATGCAAAGCACAGATCTTGCTATAGAAGTTCTGTGACCTGGTGGGGAACTATATGAAACAGGGATGCCTTCTGGAATGTCGAAAAGAAGAAAACAGGGGGCAAATATACGTGACTAAATAATAAACTATTGCTAGAAAATAGACACTTGCATTAGTAGAGTTGAGGCAGGAGGAGGTGGGAGAGAAGGTCCAGTTTCATGTAGGCAGGGGATTTACAGGGAAGCAGCTTTCTGACTTCAACTGTGGCAAAGAATGAAAGGTCGAAACTTAGCAAAACCTATCCTAACTTGGGCTGTATCTGCCGTGGGGCCAGAACCCATATTATCCTTTCTGGGGAGGAGGGACTAGCTCTCAGGGACAAGCTTTGGACTCACGCTTCTGGGCCACTCTAATCCTAGTCACCATAAAAAAACTAAATTTACCTTTAAGGCTGAATTTACACAGAGGCATAAAGTGACAATCAAGTCTCCTCTATCCCCCTCTCTTTTTGATAAATTCTTGAAATTCCTTCAACAGGATTCAGAGACTTTTAATTTTTTAGGGATCTATGGCTGTTGGAAGGAAAAGTCTGAGTCAAACTTTCCAAGACTTGCTCTCTGATCTTTTCTTGGAGCAAGAAAAAACAGGAACCTGAGGCTGGGAATTGAATTTTCATTGTGGAGGAAAAAACGGTACAAAGACGCAAGATGAACTTCCTTCATGAGCATCACAAGACGACCTGTGTAATTTCGCCTATTCATTTCTTCTCTGGGTTATTGTTGTCCTTCCTAAATTCTTTCTCAGCTTCCAGTTTGAGCCCCCAATCTACTTCCCATCTGCCACTGGAACAATTAAGCTTTCTCGAAAGCAAATCTGATCACAACCCCACTCTTAAAATCATTCAATCATTCTTGCTTTCTGAATAGGTGCCAAATTACTACGGTGGCTGAGGCAATCATTGCCTGCCTGCCTCCGGTGGAACAATTTTGTGCCTACTCAAGGAGCTTCCTGTTCTCCTCTAAGCAGTTTTCTTACTCTTGTGACCTTCAAGACACCGGTGTCATCTTTGAGGAAGCCTTCCCTGATATAGCCATCCATGACTGTGTATGTCTTTATTATTGCTTTGTACCTGTTGGTTTGCCGTATTCTCAATTAAACTGTGAATCTTGAAGGCTGATTTTTGTCCTTTTAGCAGGATTCTTCAAGAGAATTATGTTACAAAGTGCCTGCTACTGAACTATAAAGCTTCCTTTTAAAACATACGTGACTCCATCTTAAAAATGTTTTCAGAAAGTTAGCTGGTATTTCTGGTTCTACAAAGATGTATTTCTATGAAGAACAAGTATTTTGGTTACTTTAATCTTAAGGACTGCCCCCCCCCCCGCCCCCTCCAAGGTCCAGGAATGACTAGAGTTTGGAACATGGGGAAATACCATAATCTCTGACCTGTGACAATTCTTTGTGATTATCCATCACTGGGGGCTTGGTGGTTAAGCATCCTTGTGTTAATACTTCTACTTAGTTCAGAACTTTGGAAACAGAATTGGAAATATCCAGCTATTTGGACATACAATTATGAGTTAAACTAACTGCATACTTAACACCCAAGAGGGAGTGTACTAAGTTGTAAAATCACATTTAACTACCTAAAATGAATTTCCTTTGAGAAAAGTTAGGTTTGTATTACAGACACATTGCCATTATCAAAGGAAATTTTCTTGGTTTTTTGGTTGTTTAAAGTAAACCCAACAGGAAACTTATGTGGCACCTAGGTCTATGGGCATTGCACTGAGAAAATTATAGCTGGCATTCCTAGAAGGCTATAACCCCAAACTGGCATCTCAATAAATTAATATCCAGCTGTGTGGTGCAGGAGACCCTAAATCTCTGAGGTCAAACTGAAATTTACTTCAGATGTTAAACAAATGAATTGGGGGAATACACGATGTTTCCAAATACAGAAACGTAACTTTCCCACCCTTGAGTTTTGCCCTGACTTTGGAGTGGGGGCGTGCCTCAGGAGAGTATGTTTGAATGAAAGGCTTCCTTTCAGTTATTTTTGGGGGTGAATGTAGGGAGGAGGTTGAGTTCAAAGGGAAGGAGGGAGGGATAGGAGAGCAGAGGACAGGCACTATTATAATTTTGCATTTTTTGAACATTGCATTATGAGTTGAGTATCTTCTCATGTCATTAAACTGAAAAGTTTATTAATATTTAAGGCTCTTGATACATATTGCCAAATTACTTTCTGTAAGTACACAGGAAAACTTGCCTTTCTACATTAGGCCCTACTATTTAGTGGTTGAAACTTTAGAAGCTACCATCTATTTCTTCTGTAAACTATCCATGTTTTTTCTTTTTAAAATGTAAAAATTGTAGTAACTGCTTTAAATTACCATTTTAAACTAACATTAATCATTTCCTCTGTGACTATTAATTTTATGTTTATAAAGTGTTTTCCTACCCCCAGAACCAAGATTTGTATTCTCACAAATTCCCACCTTTTCTAATACTAGTTTTTCTCTGCCCACATTAAATATCAGTTTGTACTTGAGGGGCCCAACTGGCTAGCCTTTTGGTTAACATCCCATTGTGGAAATTTCACTTTCTATGTCATGTGTGGCAGCTCCACTTAAAATCTTACTCCACCCACATCTTTAGGGTTGCTTCTTCAAGCCTACATACTTAGTTCCTTTAGTTATTTCTAATGTTATCCATTAACATTAAAATTTTGTTTATATTGAACAATATATCCTGAAGGACAACTACAATATAAAATATTTGGTAATCCCACGCCACGTATGCCCCGATTTAATGCATTTAGTTTGTGGCTAATCTGATTAAATTTTTATTTTAAGTAGATACAGAACATTTATTTATCCTCTTTTAACACAGAGAGCTAACTACTGGTTCTCTAACTCTTGTTTAGCTAGCTGGCTATAGATACAGAGCATGTTAATTTCTACAGGCACCTTTCTGAATTCAAGTAAATGTTTTGGTAGACAAGGATTTCCTATTTAAATGTCATTGACAGACATAATATGAATATTGAGTACAAATATTGCTCACCATTCTTGCATTCTTTAAGTTATTTTACTTTGAAAATTTAAGAACTATCAAGTTATTAATAATATAGGTTTTCATTAAAAGAATATTTTGAACGGTGAAAATACAAATCTAATCAAATTAAATTTTGAACACATATAGAGCCAAATATTTCAACAAAACTGCAGTTTAATTTCAGAAAATGTGTTAAAATATATATTTATACATCAATTTCTGACATACACTTAATGTTAGTATACACAAAATGATGCTTTCTCTTGAAACTGTATTTATGAAATGTACATTTTAATTTAAATACTCAGTATACACTGCACTTAATCTGCATGTTGCATTTATTAAATACATTAAAATCTGCAATGTAACAAAATGTTTTCTGCATACGAAATTCAAAACACCATTTTAAATGAACAAAAGATGGCTCACTTCATTTTTTCTTGTATTTTACAACTAGTGTACAGTACACTAGCTCAGCTCCACATCCTACCTGTTAGTTCTTTTTTATCTGACATTGTTCACAGACTAGTACATATTACAATAAGAGTGCTGGATAAAAACATGAGGTACGAAAGTGGTTCAAAGAGTATAGATCATGCAGATCATGCTAGACAGCAAAGAAAATTGTGACCCAGAAAACACTAAATAAAAATACATAAAGAATGTGCATTATAAAAAAAAAAACAAACTCCATTACACAGCTTTGCTTCTTTGGTTACAAAGTAGGTTGAACAATTTCACAGCTTTTTATTCCCACCCGAAAAAAAAGTCATACGAAATGTCGAAAAGCAGAGGAATCGTGGCAATTTCTCTATTAGAAAGTAGAAACAAATGAACAAAGTTTTCTTCATCAAAATAGCCCAATTATTTATTATATCACAATAACTGGTGACTACCTGTACAGTTGCACTATGTTCTTCATACTTACACTATACAAAATTTACATTCAAGCTGGGTCTTGACTACTAAAAATAAATACCGAAGGTAAATTGCCATTAGTGTTAGAAATATGCCAGGATTCTTTTGTTCAATTATTGCCTAAACGTTTTATCTGTTAAATGCAATCCTGTTTTCAATTCCTTTACTGATACTTATAATTATTCAAAAAAATTATAAAAGTTCTGTGACATTGTTCATGTACATTTATGAAAATAGCAGCCCTGTAATAAATAAAACACAAACAAATGAAAACTTACGTAGGCAAATGTTACTGATATTGAAAGAAAAGTGGCTCTTTAGATGAACTGTTATTTATAATGTGATAGGAAGGCTCAGGGTAAATCCATGGGTATAGGAAACATGGGAGAGCCACCAAAGCTCTTAATAGACCCCACTCATGCGCACCAGGTAAAATGCAGACTCTGCTCGCCTTAAGAAACCCCGTCTATTATTCTCCTTGTGTACTGATGACAAAACTGGCCATCAGCAGTGCTGCATGACATTTCAGAGAGGAAAAGCTCTTGTAGAATGATTGTCTAATACTGAAAAGGCCAAACACACAACCGAAGCATGGCTACTTGCTTTCGTATAAAGTGGAAAGAACACCAGTGGCACACAAGGATAGATTGCTTTCAGTTTTTCTTAATGAGGCAAGAAAGCTTTATGCTGAGGAGACATTCGGCTGCTGTGGAGGTTGTGTTGGCTGCGGAGGCTGTGCTATCACTGCTTGCTGTTGAGAAGTGCTACCAGGATTGGCCTGTTGGGCTGGGAGTTGGGATAATTGATCATTGTTTGAAAGAGATTTTAACAGTGCATTTTCTCGTTCAAGTAAAGAGTTTCTTTCAACTAATTCTTTTATTTGTTCCTTTAGAACTTCCACTTCTTCTCTTACTGCATACATCAAATGGCTTTTCACCAGATCCTGTGAAAAACAAAATTAGGAATGTCAAAAAGAGAGAAAGGGGAAGGTGCTGCTATTTGGTTCTAGCCTACCTGGTGCCTTAAAACATACGGTGTTTTTCTATTAGTTTCCCTGCTCTTGCTTAATGTTTCTACTGTATCACCCTAAGGGAGGTGGGGTGGAAAACAAATCCAGTTCCCAATTAGGGCAGCAAGCCCAGTATTTTCTTTTCAAAGTTTGGATGATACTAAATTAGTTATAGTACTGCTTTAACAGGTAAGCTGATCTGCAATTTCCAACTTAGGTTGTTGTTTTTCTTTTTAAATAGTTTGAGAATAATGGTCCTTACTTATAGCCTATCTACACTTTAAATAAACTTGAATCAAAATATTTTATATAATATGAATATCTTTAATGGAATAAAAAACTGATAGTAATAGCAGAAATCATAACAAGAATCAACAGAAAACAAGTCTATGTATTAAAGTTGAGTAGTGTCTGTAAATAACCAAAGGATGACAAAAATTTCCATCCGGAGTTTTCATTTAATAGTCTTTTGTCTCAACTATTTTTGATGCTGAAATATTTGGGGGAACATAACACATTGTTATGCCCCTTACAATGATAATGAATGAAATGTGAGATGTTCGAATGGGGGAAATACTTACTCCATTGGTACTTCTTGACTAAAATTTCTCAATGTTTTAACATCTTTAACTAAATCTCATTATCAAGAAATGTACTTTAGTCATCTTGGTTTCAAGAAATTAGGTGTTTGTTATTTAGAATTGATAAAAACCAAGTGCTTCATGTAACCAACAACCTATGAAATGAGAGAACTATCAACTTTTACTTACCATTGCTTGTTCTATTTTGTTGTCAATGGCTACACCACCTCCCCCAGATGCACTGGAAAAAATTAGAATATTTCATTAAATTATTCTAAAAAATGTAATCTCCTTTTCAACTCTTAAAATAATTACGAACATTTGTGTTTTACTTAAAATAAAAAAAATAGTAGTTAAAATAGCTTACTAAGTGTATTTTCACAATTTCAGTACTCAGAGCTCTCACTGTGAAAATGAGAATCTCAGTAAATAGATGACTTCTAAAAATCCTTTGTAGTTCCAACTTTTCTAATTAGCCTATGACAAAATATACTACTTTAATAGTAACTCCCAATTCTAGTCAGGAGTTCTCGATTCAGTGAATTTAAAAAGATAAATTCTGAATGAGCAGTACCCTTTCTACATCCCTTTTACTTCATTTACCAACTATATATTCTAATTGCCTTTCAGGTGGAAATTCCAGTAGTTACTTATTGCATTAAAATTTGGATGATGACTTTTCTTAATATAGATTTTATGTGTTAATATCTGGTTTTTAAATTTTTAGAGCTGGCTTTTAAAAATGATTCAGAGGGTTTTAGGGCAAGCAGTACTTGCAGGATTGGTTAATAAGGAACTCAACATTCTGGCAGACCTACATGCTTTGACTGTAGCTTACTATTTACTAGCTGGCAAAAATCAGTTACTAAGGTATGTGGTTTGGACCAGTTTTTCCTGGAAATAATTGAAAGTAGTCTAGCTGATAAATACATCCCAAGTTTGAATATCACCTTAGCATCTGTATGATAATGACACAGAATGTTGGAATAACTACACTCTTTGGCAGTTTATATTCTTCCACGTATTAACTTAAATACTAAGAGTAGCGAGGATCTTTGTCCTTTTCTTGGTGTTTTTGTAAATTTTGAATAGTTATTAGGTTTTCTTGTAAAGACCAATCTGATACTTTAATCCACTGTATCAATACAAAAAGAAGTCTTTAAACAACTTTTATATAAAACATTACTAAATACTCTTCGTAAAGTATACCCCACCTAAGAAAATTTAGATGCTAATATATTTAAAGACTATTTTACTTTAGAGGATGTGGACCCTTAAACCAAGGCTCAGCAATATCCTGTCTGATGTAGTGGTGCCTTTTATACTATAATCCAAGTAGATCTGGTTATAATCCTGGTTCTGACTCACTATCTATGTGACCATCAGCAAATCAACTATTTAACTTCATTGTACCTCAGTTTCCTCATCTATAAAATGAAGGGATTGGTATCTCAATGCCTCAATGGACTTTCTACTTCTAAATCCTCAAAACTCTGAATCAATACATGAGAAACACTAAGCTGGTTTATCTGAGCATTAAACACAATAATTACAGCATACTACTTACTTCATTTCTTGCTGCTATTTTTAAGATGAAAAGGGGATTCTGTATATCTTTAAATGCTTTGAGAGAGTTGTACAAAGCAAAGTATGTCTATATGTAACTATAAACTATAGAACAACTATATAAACTATAAGGCTTCATTCACTGTAAAGTTCAGTCCAGACACCATGTGGATATATTCACCAAATAATGGCCACAATTTAGTAAAAAAGATAGTGATAGAGATTTAGAAATTGCCTCAAAGTCCTAGATTATACTTTCTGTATTTTTAATTTCTATGTCAAGGAAAAACTGAATTAATTATAGTCATTTCATTCCTTAAATACATTCTTTTCAACACATCTGTTTGAAATAGAACACCTTAAATGCTAACTTTAATACCAGTTTTATATAAGCAACCAAAACGAACAAAAAAACCCAAATAAACCCCAAACCCTTTTAAAAAGGGTTTATTGCTTCATTTTTTGATAATTAAAATAAAATCAGTAAGTTCCCAAACCATTCCCTCAGCTAAGAAACAATAATTAGCATGCTATTCTTTGCTGATCTAATAAACTTTAGTCCTGACTCAGACCTCTTTTAACAGCAACAGAGGAAAGGGTTTGCAAAGTACAAATAGATCATGTTAAAGATCTGTGTCCCTTATATATCAATTCTGTTAAGCATTGTACTTTAGCAAAATTAAATCAGTTGCAGATATGCGTACAATTACTATCACTATAGTGACTTCTGGCTATTTTGAAGGCTGTTATTCAAGAATTCTATAACCTACCCCAGTGGTTCTCAAACTTCAATATGCAGCAGTCAGCTGGAGGCCTTGCTAACAGAGATTGCTGGGTTCCACCTCAGTTTCTGATACAGTAGGTCTGGGGTAGGGCCCAGGAATTTCCCTTGCTATAAAAAGTTTCCAGGGCTGGCAGAGTGGCGTGATGGTTAAGAACTGGCTTGGGACGCCAAAGGGCCCCAGTTCAGATCCCACATATGAGGGCCAGTGACAATGCCCTCTACAGCTAAGATGCTGAACAACAGCTCGACCTGGAGCTGGGCTGCCGTGAGTCACCGGCGACGGCATAGGCTGCAGCCCCTGTGGCAGTGGGTTGCCATGGGCTACCGTGTGTAGCCAGTGTGAGCGGCCAGCAGCCGCAGTGAGTGGCCATCCAGAAGCTGGAGACTGATCTGCCTCACCTGGAAGAGCGCAATGATAATACCAACATGGGCCAGTGAAGCAACGTCCTCCACAACTAGACTGAACAACAAAATGACAGCAACTTGTCTGTTCCCCTTCCCCCAATTCCCCAGCACTGTTCCCATCCCCCCAATTCCCCAATAAAAATCTTAAAAAAAAAAAATGTTTCCAGGTGATGCTGCTTCTGCTGCCTGACAGAACATAGGTACTTTGAGAACCACTGGCTTACAGAGATGCAAGTTAGAGAAAGAATAACAAAAACCCAATTCTATTTTAAAAACTTCTTAGTCTGGTACACAAAACCCTTCATAACCTTGAACCCTGCCTTTATAGTCTCCTTTCCTCTCATACTCCATCTGGCCTATTGTGTTGTGGCCTTACAAAACTATTTTCAGTCTGTGGGACATATGTTCTTCTCAGGTTTCCATGCCTTTGCAAAAACTGCTCCCTCATCTGGAAATGCTGACAGTTCAAATTCATCCAGTTATTTTTTACTTGTTCCTTAAGATGATCCAGTGCCATCATTTCTGTGATGCCTTATGGTTTTCTAAGGTAGTACCAAATACTCCATCCCTCCTGTGGTCCACTGATCTTCATAAACTTTATAGTGCATAACCAGGAAGGCAGAATAGCAAATGTGAATTCTGGGAAATTACTTAACCTTTCTAGACCTCATTTTTTCATCTCAAATAAAGATTATATGCCCCAATTCATAAACTCCTGTGAGGATTAAGTGAGTTTAAATAATACTATCACCGTTAACTCTGTGTCCTTGAGGGAGGTTCCTTATCTTCTTCACTTCTGTGAAGAAGCGAACACAGAGCTTGGGACATACGAGCTCAAATGAATGAAAGAATCAATATGATAGCAATTGGATGTGAAACAATTACTGGCTCATACTGGGAAGCCATTAAAAATTTCTGAGTTTGACTAAATCAGTAGTTCTCAATATGGTCCCTGGACCAGCAGCATCAGCTACCACCTGAGAACCTGTTGGAAATGTAAACATTTGGGTCTACCCCCAAACCCCTTAATTAGATACTCAAGGTGGGATCCAGAAAGTCTATTTTAATAACTCCTTCAGGTGATTCTGATAGAAATAAAGCTTGAGGACCAATGCTTTAAATAACTTATTTACAATAAAGATACCAATATAGTAGTCTTAAATAAGCAGTATTCTGTTCTATTTCAAGATCCCAAAACATGGGTTAAGAATATTGTTTCAATGAGGGTAACAAGTTTTCTACTGTGTTCAAAGTCAATGTAGTAGTTTGAGCGTCATGTTTCTCTTTTAAAATGAGAAAGATCAACTGAAGCAGAATGAATAATTTTCCTTTGTTTGCTTCCTTGACCCAGTGTTATAGTATTACACCTGTTTTCTTTTTTATTATTGCATTCACCACACTACAACTTGGTTAACCAGTTTCAGAATGTAAGTTTAAGGGAAGGCTTCCTGTTTAAGACTTTATAATTATTCTTATAAACTATAAATGCTATATAAAGGCGAGGCATAATTTTTAAAAAGAAACTTTTTGTTTACTATGGGTCACTCTTTTAAAATAAAACCGTACCTTGATTAGCATTTCCTAGGTGAATTAAAAATTATGGGTATGGGAAAATGGACAGAAATACAGAACTGTGGGCAAAAAATACAAGGATGATGAATTTTTATTTATTTAAATTGTAGTCCCAAAGGAACCAAATAAGCTTGAATTTAGTGTTTTTAAAAAGTAAATTATAATCATATTCAAAGGAAAAAGTAAAACTCGCTGAAAATATGCTACAGCAAGATAGCTTGGCTTTCCATGATACAGTTCATCTTTTAATTCCCCCCAACTTGCTGCCCACCACAGCTTTTCTTCCCAGGCCTCCCTACTCTTCTCACAATTAGATCACCTGCAACCTCACTGAAGCTACAAGAGGCCAGATATGATCCTCTGGCTTTACAAGTTCCCTACATTTTTATCCTCATCCTCCAATAGGCTAACGGCTTCATTCATACTCTCAGCTTAGCAACTTTGTACAAACCATCCCGTCTTTCCTCTCTAAAAATTAAAATCAAAGAGTCATGCTAACTTGATCTCACATTTAAAAAAAAATTCTATGGGAAATCAAACTTTTCTTTATTAATGTGGGCAGAGACGTCACGGCTATTTGTTTAAAATAAAAATAGTGCAAGTTTCTTCTCTTACATTTTGACTACTTTGTCTTTTTTCTGTTCTCCCCTCGATACAAATGCTAGTTAACAAAGCAGCAAGGCAGAAGAAAAGAACACTTAAAAGACTGCCTATTTTATGGCAGGCACACATTACTTTAGTGAGTCCTTACTGCAAGCCTGAGAAACATTCTCATTTTACAGTTAAGTAATTTACTCAAAGACAGTGCTCTAGGGACAGGATTCAAAACTAGACCCAGTTAATGTCAAAACACATGCTTTTCCTACCATAATATTAAGACTGAAAGGGAAAAAGCAAGTATCTATAATGACCTA